GCTTTTTAATTTATATATAATGTCGCGGATTATGGTGAAATCAGATCATCGTGAGCCTTAAAAATATAAGCCCTCACAACCCTAACAAAGCCTACTTATACTCTTTTATTATAAACACTAACCCTAATACTAGTCCAAATTCAAAAAAAAGCCTAAAAAAATATACCCCAAAAAAATTTTAAAAATTGGAATTTCACGATGATCCGGATTTCATGACATTTAATAAGTCGCAATATATGGAATAACTCGAAATACAAGAACCAATGAATACTTGATAGTATTCCGGTATGCTAATATCGAGGCTTTATAAATATTTAAGAGAATTCTAGTTAACACATGATAACTAAATTACAAATATTAGATATATTTCATTTGAGTTACGTAATTGTAACATTCTACAGGACTGACGCACTAATGAAAATTCACAATCTTATAATCGCAGATTAATAATTGCCTAGAAAAAAAGGCATGTGTGTTTCTGGAGGTGATATTATTGATGTCATGCCTATGTTGCTTCTGAAGTTTTATTAAAAAATGGCAGCTTACACAAGCAGCATAGGTTTGGTATTATTATAGAAGAAATGTCAACCGGGGTTAAAAGCATTTCGATGAACGTAAATTTGATATTAAACTTTAAAGAGATTTGTTCATATTTTGTTCCAAACTTCTGATTATGTTTAATTGGCGAATTTTGGATATTTAAAAAATTGAGAATGTACCAGATCAGACCTCTAATAATGACATCATAGCTTATTTACGGCACGTATAATTTGCCGTGACTGACTGTAATAGTAACTTGCCTGAATGCCATTGAAACGATTCGTCTACATCGCTAATCACGAGTTGACGAGTTCAAAAATTATTTTTTTTTTATCACTGGACATTACTGGACCTTCCATCCAGTGGTAAAAAAAAACTGACTGGAGCGGCCTAGTGACAACTGATCACAGGAACGGTTATATCTTCCAATTTAATCCAGTCAGTTCCTGTATTCCTTCCGGCTCCAGTGATTCTCACTGGTCTGCAGGAAATTATTATAATTTGAAGGACAGTTTCTCCGTGAAGATTCAAAATTTCCAATAAACAAGTCAGGAATCCATCACGATTAAAATACAGAATTTATATAAAGCGTTGAGTTATGCTGAGACCTTGAACTAGTGTTATGTCTCGAGTCAACTTTATCAGTTAGTATTACTTGGTCCCATATAGAGTTCCAATCACTCATCCGTTTATCCATATCTTCCCTCTTCTGAACCTGTCGTGACTATTCTGTCATTTCACTTATCGCGCTGGGTGTTTCTGATCTACGTACGTATTAGAAGCGACTAAACACGTATTAATGCACGCACTGTGATGAGCGCAATGTAAGATCGACTTGCTCGATCCAGCCCAAAAAATTGGGGTAATTCTGGTCAATTTCGGTCAAATTTGCAGACCATTTGGCTCTTGTAATGAGTTTTAAAAAGTCAAATGATCTGCAAATTTTACCAGAATTACCCCAATTTTTTTGGGGGTTGGATCGACAAAAATCGCAAAAAAATCAGCCCATATATCAGCCCATATAATATCTTGCACCAATTTAATTAAATTAAGTTGCTAACGCTACGTAATGATCGCATAAATACTACGTATAATCCTGTCTAATCTACGATTTTGATATCTCAGATTATCGTTATGCTCGATGACTTTACGGATAGCAACTAAGGTCTTTAAATAAGAGAACATCACATAATATTCGCTTGATTGCAATTTATTGACTTTTTTCCTCTAAATTAGTCTGTTTTTCCAGTCAGTCGTATTTTTTCCAACAGTCTCTTACGAGAGTATAGAAAGGGGCATTTCCAAAAAAGTATTTCGTTTCGTTCACAAAAGTTATCATATTCAACTCCTCATGAAATTTCAGAAAAAGTTCTTGAATATTATGAAGGCCTGAAAAATCATGATCGATATTATTTAGCCAAAGCCATAACATTAGGTTTGTGGTACAAACAAATTGCGCTCTTTGAGACAGTCCATTTTCATTGGGCAGTTGAATTTACATAGAATTTATCCATATTAGTTGAATCGTCGCGTAAGGATCATAAATATCAAGCACAACAATTGCTCTCCATAATTCTCGATGTACATCATTCTTTAAGCAATGATGTACCAACATTCAGAATTGGCCTTTCTGGTCCGCCTGGCGTAGGAAAATCTACATTCATCGAACGTTTTGGAATGCATGTACTTTCTCAGGATCATCGTGTAGCTGTTCTTGTAAGGAATTTATCACTATATCATTTTCTTATACTATTCCTCAATTTAAATATTGGATTCTACCTCTGTTTTTTTTCCTAGGCCATAGATCCATCTTCATCTCGGACAGGTGGATCAATTTTAGGTGATAAAACCCGTATGATTGAATTGTCACGCCAAAATGACGCGTATATTCGGCCATCCGCAAGTCACGGCACACTTGGTATGTTGATGTTTAAAAATTATATTGTTCGTCATATTATTTGTTGATATTTTCATCTAATTATTAATTTTCTTTACAGGTGGTGTAAGTTAAAGACATTCATATGTGTTAGTAATACAGTTAACTCTTTATGTGCACCTTGATAGAACAATAATTGCATTTAGAGAGAGTAAAATATTTAATATCCTTATAGGCTATGACTATGTCAAAGGCTGCACTTAGAGAGATTAAACATAGAGCCTGCACTTAGTGTTGATTGTAATTTGTAGTTGATGTTTTACATATCGGCTCGAATATAGGTAGCTAGGAACACTAATGAAGCTTTAATCATGTGTGAAGGTGAGTAAATTGCATTCATAACGTGTACAATTATATTGTAATTTTCTAAATTGAATTATGTAAATTTCAAGCTGCTGGTTTCAATGTGTGTCTTGTTGAAACAGTGGGAGTTGGTCAATCAGAAACTGTGGTAGCAGATATGGTTGACATGTAAGTTATCTCGTTCAATTATATTAAATGATAATGAAGCATTTTAATTTATCTAATTAAATTATTTTATTAAGGTTTATTTTGATGGTTCCGCCTGCAGGTGGAGATGAAATACAGGTAAACATGCGCTATCTGTAATTGGAAAGGTTCTACCACAAAATCCCGACCAAATTGGCCAACATTATAACTAATGCTGGCTAACTTTGTCAGTATTATGTCCCTTCGGGAATCTGTCTTTCGGGATTTTGTGGTAAAACCAATTGGAAAGGATAATTCGTAAAATTCACTGCGAATTTACCTATTTTGACTTTGACATAAGGGTTTGAAAAAAGGCATTGTTGAAATTTCTGATTTGGTAGTTGTCAACAAAAACGATGGTGCTATGGAAACTGCAGCTAGAGAAGCAGTTGCCGAATATACCAGCGCCCTAAAGTATCTCCGGCACAATACACCATTTTGGACACCTCGGGTATTATATGTAAAAATATAAATG